ACAACATGTACTCAAAACCAGAATTCATCGGACGAAAAGTTACATACCGGACAACACGAACGGATAAAGATACAAATATCTCAACGCCTGTACAAAAAACTGGAGTCTCACTGGGCAGGGAACAACAAAACACCAAACGACACACACCACACAGTATCTCGCAGAGGAGATGAAACGCTCCTGAAAACACTTACTCGCGGCCTCTAATTTGTGTACCTCCTTCGATCTACTTACCTCGGTATTAACGCAGTTAATAAGATACGCGACGTTTGGTTCCACGATGAGGTGCTCCGCTTTCCTTACCCTGATGACCGCTCATACTCCACAACTAAACACGGTATTACTGACTTGATTGACTCGTCGATTGCAACTAGCAGAGACAACCTGCAATAAATAAGCACTAATTAGAGGGTTATTGAGGAAAAACTCTCAACTAATGGCTCATTACTTGTAGAATATGGTCATGTAGAATGAGGCATTAATAAGTGTTTTATAATGACTAATAAAGAGCCAATATACTGCTAATATGCATGTTAATTAACAACTAGTAGATGGTGAATTTGTGAACCTTCAATGTTATGCATTTTACTATCTGTCTTTTGTCTGAAAACTATAGTTTGTAGTTATTTTGCCTCTTCACATTAGTAATACAAACAGGCACTTAATTTATACATTATGACAATTTGTTATACATGCAGTGAAATACATTAATGCGCCAATAATTATAATCCAATCATATACAGTTTCTTAGTCTCAAAAGAGCGATTCTGAAAAAACGAGTACTTTTACTTTCCGTACTTACAATGATGTACAAAATGATGCTTAATACAGGATTTACAGAATAACAGAGTGTACTTTAACAGTGTGGTATACAGCTTTTACTGCAGTAAACAATCTGAAACATCTTCTAAACATTACCCTCATACTCCGGCAGTGGCACAGTCAATAGGGGCTTGGACTGTGAGCCGTAGATTCGCCGGTTCAAGTCCCCGACCAGACCTAAATATGGAGTGTGGACTGCTACTTGGAGAGGTCCCAGTTCACCTCCTGCCCTGCCGTGGTGCCCTTGAGCAAGGCACCGGACACCCCCACCACCTCCATTGCTCCCCGGGTACTGTACAATAGCTGCCCACTGCTCCTAGTAGGATGAGTTAAATGCTCAGGCAACATTTCGCTGTGTTTGCTGTGTGCTCTGCATGTGTGACCATTAAAGAGGGTTTCATCCCTCCGATTCTATACTGTATATCATTTTAAAACCACCCATCTGGCTACAATGCCATTGGCGAGGTTCAACATTGATATATGGTGATCAGGCCTTGAGTTCAGGTTCATGTTTAAAGTGGTGTGGGTTAGGGTCAGGACTGTGTCAAGTTCCTACACCATTAAAGCACAACACTTTTGTGGACCTGGCTTTGTGCTCTGTGTACAATACATATGCCTAGTGTTGCAGTGGTAATATCAGCAGGTGAAATCTGACCTTCTATTGTGTATTTTTAAACATTGGAGAGAGCCAGGTTAACTGCTTTCCCCTGCCTTCAGTCTTTATCGTAAGCTAAGACAACCCCTGGCACTAGCTCCAAATATTTCTCAGAAAATGTTGAAGTATTCTTTAAAAAAACACCCTAATCTAGTTAAGGAACCCAGCCCAAAACATGAAAAAAGCCCAGCAGTGTTCACATATTTATGGCCATATTGTGTATTTGGACAAATGTCCTTTTCATAATATTAGGTAATCAGCACCATCATGATGTTGAAACAGGTGGCGCCATGCTGCTACATTAGATTAACGCTCTGATGATTTATATAGAATCTATTTATTTTTTCTCTTTTACATTTACGCACGTTGCTAAGGATCCAGCCAATGTTTATGAAAATGTTCCTCTAACAGCCCGGACTCTTTCCCTCCCATGTGTGGTGTAGGCTTCCAGGATCCTGTATACATTTTCACAGACGGGGCCGTTTCAGGGCAGTCCTCTCACTGAGCCGTCCTCACCTGACCTAATTTAGATGACGGAGGGAAATGTATGGCCAACGGGAAGGGGAGGGGGCGGGCTCACACTTACATAATAGGCCTCTAATGCATACAGAGCACATGCTTCATGTGCGTGGCTGTCCTTGATGTTCTTTGGCGTGCAGTGATGAAACAAAAGAGGGGGAGACTGTGAGGATTAGACAGACTGAGAAGGGACGAGAAAGGAAAATGAGAACTACTGCTGGAGCTGACCCATGTTGGATTCTTTAGAAAGAGAGGGGGGAGACAGGGGGGGGAGTTATTAGTAAGCCGTCCTGCCTCCCTTGGGCCCCAGTACTTGGATTTGCTTTCTTCTGCTCCACTGTCTTGGTAAACACATATGTTCATGTTTGCCTTTTTTTTTTTTTATAGAATAGAAAATAAACTGGGTCTCATAAAACGAAGCTGCTGGCAGAACAAGATGTACTTGTGTGTGCATTTGTGTTGCTACGTATGTGAGGAAAGCCAGGGTTGGAAGAAAAAGGGTGTCTTCAAACAATCCTGGAGATTGGAGCTTTTTCTGAAATTGACAGCACAGCTGGCTGCAATGTTCTCCTGCTGCTGAGTGGAAAATTCCTGCCATGACGGAGCATGAAGTGTGTGCATGTGAGAGAGAGAGAGAGAGAGAGACGGGGTGTGCGCATGACACACACATGAGACAGGGAGGGAGGAGGGCGATCCGAGGGGGCTGGGCTATCGTCCAGACAGCTGGCGAGGGATTGGTTGGCGGAAAAGCTGCCTTTATGAGATCACAGCCCCCACAACAGCATCCACCCACATGGTGGACCTCATGTGAAATGAGCCACCCTGCCAACATGAAGTTAATAAGAAAAACCTTGTGTTCTTCAGGAAGTGCCACCATCAAGTCCTTCCCATCCCCTGCTTCACTGAAACAGACCCAATTACACTTCTCTGGGAGTCTGAGTGGCCCTCTCACTGCTGGACCGCAGTTGTTCTTTATACTGTAGCAGTGTGAATAACCTGTATACACTTGCAGTCAAAGGGGAACTTCACCCACAAAATGATCATTTGTGTCTCAAACGCTCACCCTGTGTACCTCTAATTTTTTAAGAAAACATTTCCTGCACGCCTGCATGAGGGAAGGTTGCTGAATTGAAGTAAAACTTAAGTTTAGGTGTAAATCAATAATTTCTCATCTTGATAACTGCACTTATCAATATTTGTAAGCCCACACTGGTTAAAAATGACTATTATGTAACAGCATTATCAGTTCACTTTGAACGGTTTAGTGTCTTTTAGCTTTTACGGTCTGCTAATCATTTGTTTCTTATCAGCACTGTTTACAAATGAAGCAGGTAGCTTTCAAAAACAACCCAAAAAATATCTTACCCATTACTTTAAATTAAAAATGTTTGGGTCAGGTTGGGTTTCCTACTATTTAAATCATGTATGCAATGTATACGAATCCTGCATTCTACTTTTCTGCAGATATTCATGTGTAATCTTGTACTCTGCTGCACACAGATGAAACACAGCTGCTTGTTTTTAAGTTATTGAAAGTTCACATTTTACTATCTTTATCGTTTCACCACCAGATGGTGATACACTGTCAGACTGGCCCGTCAAACCTCATGTGACCCTTCACAGCCCCTCACTGAGACCTTTGCTCCACATTATCCTCCACACTGCCTTGTGTCACAGGTCAGATCCCCCTCTATCTCTGGAGTAATAATGTATGGTTTAAGTTGTCACATCACAGCTGATGACAGGTTTTCCACATATTTTCTGCACTGCTTTCTAATCCAAATTGCCCCGACTCGCAGAAAAAGCATGGATAATACAGCCATAACATGAGGATTTACAAGGTAGGTGCAATCATTTGGTTTTTAATTTCAGAGAAGGAGAACATGCCGGAGCTCACACACATCATCCACAAAGAGATGCTTTAGGGGCCAACAGCTTTCCCATCTGTGAAGACAAATCTTTTTGGTTGAGGAACTAGCAGCAGGCCTCTCGACCAGCTGGGGACCGTCGGGCCCTCTGAGATCTGATAGGATCTGTCAATAAGTCTGACAGGAAGTGCTGATGAACTGAGCGGTGCTGCCAGCGCCCGTCTCTCCCTGACACTGATGTGACCAGACAAACCTTGTTCTCTTCTCAGTTAGCCATTATTCCAGCCCAGCAACTCTGCTGCGGCTACTGTAGAGCATTGTTTTTCAAATTATGCAAATATTTGTTACCAAATGGAGGTGCATATTGCGGCAAACATAGCTGGCCCCAATCTAAATAGGATTTAGAGCTCATCTTGGATTATGCTACAAGGGGGACATTAGAATTTTCATCTATTATTACTGCTTCAGGCGTGTTTTAAACTATGAGTGCAGTGATAATGTATCTTCTATATTGGCCAAATGATGAATAGTCGGTAAACATTGTTGTTATGCATGCCAGGAAACAGGCTTTTCTTATTTAACAATAAATCCAGCACATTATCTTCAATTTCACCAATCTGTATTCAGTCATGATAGAGCAATTTATTTTTATTCCCAAGTACAGTGACTTCATCTGTTAACAAAAACTCTTTAATACAACTTCATTTAACAGAGACAATGAGGTGATAACAAAAGTTTTTTTTCCCCGTGGGTTTAATTTATTAGTCCATTCATGAAAACCCTCCAGCACATGATGTAGTCGGTCGGACAACTGAGAGCCAATAACAGCCCGAAGAGCCAGTGAGATGTCAATTTAGTCACATATTTATTACATAAATATATAGTAAAATAGACCAGCGACAATTACCATAAAAATATCTTCCTTCAAAACCCTGACCATAAACAAAGATTTGAAAATCACACATTGACATTTACAAACACGCTGATTGTCTGGACCTGTCGTAAGCAGCCCACCACAAAAACCTGACATCACACCGCCCACTGGACTCTTGTTCGGAGGAGGAGGTAAAAAGGGGGGGGGTGGTGGGTGCTAGGGAACAGCAGGGGGTTGGGTAATGACCGGGGGGGGACAGGTCCAGGTGAGAGAGGGTGTGGTGTGATGGAGGTGTGAGAGGAGATCACAGTAGATATCCGGAGGTCTCCTGCGTGTGTGTGTTATTGAGAGAGGACAGTGTGTGTTTTAGCCCGGAGCGTTGCCTAAAGCTCGGCTGTATGTCCTTGCACGGTGGAAATGAATCCTAAATATTTGTCCTTGTTTTGAATGACTGAACAGGGACATCATCAGAGAAAGAAAACAGACATAGCAGGAACAAAACCTGGGAGTAATATAATAGATATTATATTTTCAGATACTTCTTTTTGCCTGGGTTAACCTGCACCGGACACCAGGAGGCCGCGGTTTGTAGTATTGTAGCCATTTATTGTACATTATCAGGCACAGAAACTGAATACACTTTAAATAATTTCTGCTACTCTTTTGTACTACCCTGAAAATATATAAATATCTGGCACCTCTGGATAAAGAAAGAAGGAGAGATCTCTACTGTGAGTACAGTGAATGGCCGTGTGTTTCCCTGTGTACTGTGTCCTCTGTTGACTGGTCAGTAATAGACTCTAGCCCACGATGTAACTGCAAACTGTTACATTACCAGCAATATTTTGTATTTTACTCTGGATTTGTTTTCATTTTGGCTTCTTATTCTCTGTTTAGTGTCCCGGACTGTGATACACCCACATCTAGACATTAGTCGCTTTCATAATATGCAATCCTCTTAGTGACTTATAAGATGGTAAAACTAGGTCAAGGCAAAAAAATATATTTTACTCTGACCAAGAAATCCCCTAGATTAAATAACACTATGTACTATTAAAACTAGATACTGGACGACAATAAGACCCTAATTCACTTGAATGAAAGTTGTTAGGCAATCTTATTTCTAGACTCTGGGAAAGTTTACAAAATAAAAAACGTTAAAAAAAACACAATTTACCTGGTTCTAGTCTGATGCGTCCTGTCAAAGTATTTCTAACGTCTCTTTTGAAGCTTAAATAAACATTTTGTTCATTGCCTAATATCTCTTTTAGCATAGGGTAAACTGGACCAAAGGAAAGGAGATAATCCATTGGGGCAGCAACATTTAAAATGACGCCCCATTAAAGGTCAATAACATCAGCTTTTGCTGTTTTATTGTACATTATGAATGAATGAAAAGCATCCTCTTTAGGAGGTGTCATTCTCTTTCAGACAGAAATCCTTAAGTTCTACAGCATTTGTCATTGTAACACATTTTCTATGTGTGATAAACAGATTTGCTTAAATTATCTTCAGTAAGCCTATGCGGTTGTTTACTTTTTCACATCTCTACTTGACATTTCCTTAGAAGTTATGAAACATGGTTAAGAAAATACATTGACTGCTTGACTGCCAACATTTGAATTATCTGCTAATGCTGATATGACATGGCATGTATCAACTTTAAAGGAGATTTTTCTCAGTAAAGGTCATTTGTGATTTTTGTCCTTTTAACATATTTTTTTCCATCTTATGAGTCACTAACATTGCTTCCATCTGTAATTAATTTGAGTGACAAAATGGTTTTTCTCTTTGTTGTTCCCAGTTTTCTCCAGAGATAATAGGACTTGTCTGCTTTATTGTTTGCATTGAGGGCTGTGACAACAGGTAAACTGACCCTTCACATCCTGTCTTTGGCACCTTCCTAACCCTGATCCTGACCGGACAGGTCGTGACCCCTGAGTGTCTGAAGAACACGCTGAAGCTTTCCCAGCAGCCTCTGTAGTCACAGTGAAGCAAGGAACTCTTGAAGGAGTGATACAAAAGTAAAAAAGGTAGTTGTATAAGCTGAATGTGAAGGTTGTTTATAGCTCATTTGCACATTTACTTAATTTTTTTGTAGGTTTTGTAAAACATCTTCTGCTGGTTTGAAGTCATAGAGTTATAGTATGTTTGAGTAGTCACATATATACTGAGCAGGCTTGAACAGGGTTCTTGAGAAGATTCAAGAGAGAAAAAAGACAAAGAAACTTCAAATCAAAACATAACCCCCGAGAGTACTCTGCAGATTTGCTCTTCAGCATGCTTCTATTGAATTTGCTGAAATATCGAAACACACAACGTTTGCAAAAAGTTTTTTAAATGCATTGTCCAGTCCTGAAATCTGGCATCTTTGTGTTAAATCAAGAAAAAGTAAAGTCCTGTTGATGCTTACCATTGATTCAGATCAGATAAAAGACCTTTACTTTCTCTTGATTTATCATTATAATGTTTCATCTTGAGACTATCTACTAGGACAGTGGATCGTAGAATAGTGAATACAGACACACAGACAGTTCATAGACACTTGTACATCAAAACCCCACCTATAAATAAAGTCTGACATGTAAACATCTACCAGCACCAGAACGTAGAACTTGGTGCATCTACCAGGTATCTGCTTTTTAGCGAAACACTGATCCTGCTGTTGAGGAAACCACTTTGAAGCATAGCACATTTTTGCTAAATGTTTTTAACAACATAGCTACTATAAGCATGCCAAGCTTTCTGTACATGCGACACTGAGTCTTTTCTGTTGTAAACAATGTGAGCAAAGAGTTGGTACAGTAAAGAAGATGTTCCCAGTGGTGTCAAAGAGGTGGTTATTGGTGATTTTGCTGGTACTGTATAAAAGTGGCTTGGACCTGCTACAGAGTGGAAAACTGTTTCGAAGTTGATCCCTTTCTTCAGGTTTAAAAGTCAGCAGAGAGTATTTCCTCTGGTTTTGCATACAACAGTGAGAGCAGATAGTGTATGTGCTCTGACGGTTTTTGACGGAACCGACAAAGCACACGTGTGTCTTCAAGAGAGGGTGGGGNNNNGGGGGAGGAAGGATGGAAAGCACCCTTTGAGGCCGGTTTTTCAAACCTGAGCAAGTCAAATCCTTTTTTTTTTTCAACCTGACAAACATTGCATATTTTCCTCATAAGCACGTCCCTAAGCTACTCTACACTTCATATCATTGATCTAATATCTGATCTATATTCCTGATTAATAGACTAATTATAGATAAGCTAATTTGTGTACATTCTTAGCTGTCTAGGCATGTGATTTCCCACCCGTTTATAAAAATATCTCCATGACTATAAATGTCCTTTTAGATCGTCCGAGCAGCACAAAACCGCTGCAACACCTACAGTATAAGTGCTGTTAGTTCCATCTTGGGATTTGGTGTACTAGGCAATAGGACCGTGATAGTGTCCGCTCAAAGCTATTCGTAATGTCTAGTGGCGAGATGGTAGTGCAGTGAAAGGAGCTCCATGTGCCATTGGAAAAGGAAAGGAATGTCATGATCATAACAACTTTCATTTACACAATGCCTCGCACACGTGTTGGCTGCCAAACAGTCACATTTGAAATTGCAAACAGTCTGAACGCGCATCTAATGTTGACAGCGCGCTCAATAAGCCAATATGGCACTTTAATGACATGATTCAGCTCATGAAGGCTTAAATATTCTCTACTGATTTGTTGAACTGAAATGGCCACAAAGAGTATTGGCTTATTCAATATTTTGTGTCACGATAACCTAAAAATCACTCGGGAGTCCGAACCTGCTACCACCCAGCACACTAATACACTCTTTACCAGAGATCCAACTACATAACGTGGGTTTTTCTAAATCGAGCTTTCATAGTAAATCCTCCGGTGCCCTATAGACACGCTGTAGAACAATACCACAGAGGAGGAAGGATACAAAAGCAATCAATAAGGCCATCATATGGAAAGAGAAACAAAATGATAACAGGCGCGGCATTATCTGATCCGGTCTGCCAGAAACGTCTGATTGTGAGAATTCCTGCAGCTTTTATTTTTGAAATATTCCACTCTTGCAATTCAGTGTTCCTGTCCTGCAACCCCACCACCTTCATAAACTGTAACAATGGCTTCAAAGACTATCTTTTAGCCATATGAACACAATTTTAGTTACATTCTTCAAAGGAAATAATACACGGCTGTGACAGGACTCTGTTTTACAGACTTCTGTCAAGTACCACGGCCTGAAAAGGTGCTTTTGGGGGATTCGGAAGGGAAGGAGGAGGTTGATCTGGTAGCAGGATGTTCATAGCAAAGTTCACACACTAAAGACAGTTCTCTCACATGAGCATGGATGCTGATATTCACATGCACACACCTATAAACATGCACAGCCTTGGTTTTTAGCCATGCCATTCTTTCGGTACATCACACAGCTTAACAGTAAGCACACTGAAATAGAACAGGCCTAGAGATGGAGGAACAAAGCCCCCCCCCCCCCTTGATCCCCTCAAGGCTGGATGGTGCGTGGCTTGGAAGGGAGCCAAGTACAGTTGTATGTACACCATGAACCAACTGGGGGGGAGCTGGATGTTGCTGCTGCCACTTTGACCGTAAAGGAAGAAAGTGCAAAGACCACTACTGACAGGACGGGCTGAGTTGACTTTGAACACTATGGCACGTGTTAATGAGAACATGGGATTTAAGATAGGTCCGCTGGATCCTTTCTTGCTGTGCTATGAAAGCCCATTTCTGCCAGGAATAGGAAGGGTTGGGGATGCTAGAAATAAATATAATTATATAACTCAAAGAAAAAATAAAACGTTTTAAATCCAGTTTTTCTCACATCGAGTCATTAATAAAACATAATTCAGAGATGAAGAAATCTAGATACTGACCGCAAATCAACATTTCTAAGATTGTAATTTTCATGATCTAAATTACGCCCGTATCATCCTGTATTCTTTAGGTCAAAAATAATTCCTTTTGATAATATATCTTAACTTTTGAGATTTTGGAATTATGAGGTAAAAAGTAAATTACTGACCAACATTTCAGCTTTATTTTTTATCATTTTGATTTGTCATGAGTAGAGTTTATCCATAGAATTTAATTTCCTTTTGTTTACGCTAGCCTAGCTGACAAACGTAGCCTCTAGTCATCCACAGGGTTTAGGGTGTCTTCTCTGGAGAGATCAGATCCTCAGTTTAAAAAGCTCCTCTCTACTAATGTTACCTTCGATTTCAAGGCACTCCAAATAGCTTCATACATGTGCTGTTTTGCGGCTGAGTAGGTTGTAAAGGAAGCCACTGGTGGTGTGTGGACCTGCAGTCCCTTCTCTTGACTGTGAACTGGTTTACCACACTTGTTCACATCGTTGGTTGAACTTTTATAATAATAGGGGACTTAATCGATCTCGTTGTCGGATTAGCATTACCTTTGGCCCTTATTTCAAATTTAAGAAGAAATTCGAGACATTACTTTGTCTAATGAGATATTAAACAATTGGTGATTTGAATATTTATCGAATAAGGCCATAGCTTTAAGTAGCCTAGAACATCTAATAAGACCCTGGGAGTAGAATAAATATTCCCATACAAATAATCAAAGTAGAATTGGAGTGTCAGACCATTTTCCATTTCAACTGTTACCTTGGCAAAGTTGTTTTGTTGCAGATGAGAATACAGTACACTTTCTCAAAACCATTTTATCTCTAAACCCTAAAGCACTGTGTTCCTCTTCTTCTCTCTCTCTCTGGCTTCCCTGTGCTGAACCATCAGCCGTCCCGTGACCTTTTCTGTCTCCCCTGGCTGTCATTGCCTCATTACCTTCGTATAGGATGTTATCTTTTCGCCTCAGTTCTTCAAATTACGCTCATCAAATTACAATTTGGTCGTCTGTTTGTCAGCAGGATTACAGAGAAATTACTGTTAGGGTGTAGCATGGGCCAGGGAAAAGTCCATTATGTTTGAGCTGATCCAAATTATGGTGCAGAAACACAATTTATGTTTCCCTTTTCTAAAAGGTGCGAGATAGGCCATTTGTGCAGCACTGTTGTTCTCTGAATAATGGGAAACACATTGTTCCATGCTGGTCTCATCTGTTTGGTAACATCTGGAAGTTGCTTTAAGAGCCATATTCTTCACGTTTATAATATACCCATTATTTTGTCATCCCAGCCCATGGCGTCATTTTACCATGTTGGTTATTCTGTACACATGACATGTATTGCATGTCTGTCAGTAAATGAAGAGGGAGGTTTATTCAATGTTTTAACCTTTTAAATGCAGATTGTAAAGCCCTTTGAGGCACATTGTGATATGGGGCAGCGTAAATAAAATTCATTTTTCTTTTCCTGGCAGGAATGGGGTTCCATATGGTACGTATGGCACATAACATAAGCAAACAACTCCCACTCTCAAACAAACACGACAGAAAACACTGTCCCACCTCCACACATGAAGTCATGATTAGTATTTGAGATAGACACACGACCCAAATCCTTGAAGCCTGGATGTCTATACCATTTCAATCTGGAGCGAACACAGAAAACAGAAAAAAAGGTACATTGCTGATTGTAAATTGAGAAGACAAAAAAAGAGGAGCTAACAATGGTTTTTCATCTAAGGTTCATCATCATTTATTAGAAAATGTTCTTTTACCTGAGAGAATCCTTCAATAGCTTCCTTTACCCAGTCACACAAAGTGGTCTGTGTGTGTGTGTGTGTGTGTGTGTGTGTGTGTGTGTGTGTGTGTGTGTGTGTGTGTGTGTGTGTGCATGTTTGTGTGGAGCGGGTCTAAGCTGATGCTCTCATGGGTGGGAACATTTTAGAATCAATCATGAGATGACTATTTTCCCACAATCATAAAAAAGATCTGCTGAGACAAGAACCACGCCAAAAGGTTCCCTCACTCACTTATTGCACTTCAATAAAAAAAGAATCGTAAACTTTATAATTAGTCATTAGATGCCTAAAGGCTGAAACTCTAATTTTCGGGTTAAACTCATTTGAAAAACAATTAACGGTACAAAAGGCATTTGGCTTTGGTGCAATTTTACTTTTTTTCCTGTCAGCATAATTATTATCACCAAAGATTCTTCCACGTCTCGTGGATTGGTTTGGGCCATTCAAAGTGCATTTTAGTTAAGTGCTCATGTTCAACGGGGGCTCAGTAGGTTGTAGATGTTTATCATTCTTTCTTCATTTACAAATCAGGTCAAATCCTTTCCTCATGTCTAAAAAGTACAGGAATAGGTTAGGTAAACTTAGCTATGCTATGTTTCCCACTGATAGACATCAAACACCCACTCTTTATCATTACATTAAGTTGGTCGCAGGATAGAAACAATTAAAGCTTTACACACATATTGCAGACAAGTGAGTTAAGGGGATTTTCTAAATCTTGTAATTCGTGGCCTTAACGTTGGACCCACCCGACGACGAGAGCATCGCATCAAGAAGACGTACCCAAACTTCCAAACAACATACACATAAATGCACACACACCACTTTCTGAGCAGTTTACAAATAAACAGCACATCTCGTAGAATCCTTATTCTCCACAACAACCCCAGTACCCCCTCCTACTTTCTCTGAGACCCGGACTACCTCGGAGAGAGGCAGTCAGCTGGGCTAAAGGCCAGCTCACCAAGGTAGTCCAGACCCCCGCTGATATAAGTAGCGAGATGTCCAGAACATCTGGAATTCAAGCCAGGCCGAATTTTACAAGCAAGACTGGCTCGCTGTTGTTACGTTGAGTCTGTGGGAGGGAGCAGGAGGGAAATTGCATAGACGTCTTACTACTTCACAAACTCTACATTTGGCATAGGGGGGGACCAAACACAACCGTGAAACCAAAAAACATCACAGAAAATCTCCACCCTTGTCCAACATGTCAACATGTGAGAATAAATCAGGATCATAATATTTATGGATGGGATGAGTTTGTCCCCGCAGAGCCAGCCTTGAATCTCTGTATGTTGTGGTGCCGCTAACGCAATTTGCGATAGTCTGGGCTTCATCAGAGACCAAATGACTTTCAGCTTATGCCAGTAAGAAATGAAAACCATATATGGTGCTAGAGTTCAAACTTTCATCACCAGCTAAGACTCCATTTACACTTCATGTGTCTCGGGCAGAGTGGACCGTTATTGGACTGCAGTAGAAATGCATATCAGAGGATTGAAATTTGAATGCGTGCGAGAAGAGTATTCAGATGCATTCTTGCCAGATGTGGAGAAGTCTGAATGCATCTGTAATTTTCACTCTTTAAGGTTAACTAAGGCTGTAGATAGATGAAGCTTCCAGAGCTTCTCATGTTTTGAGGAGCTTCAGATCCAAATTGCATATAGCCCGCGTAAACAAAGACATGATCCGTCCAATAAGAGATACATATATGTTGCTTAGTGTTAATAAAAAAACGTATTGAATCCGGATTTTAAGAAAGACACATGAAATGACAACTACAAATTGAACCTCTAATAGTCCCTGGTTCAGGTTTATGACCACCTTGTATCACAAACTGAGCAAGAGTTTTTTAGGCTGGCTTCTGGGAGGCAATGGGATGGTGGACGAATGGGGAAATCCATGTTGGCAGTTTCCAACCTCGATGTGTGTGTTTTGCAGCCACGTTAGCTGACATTCACTTCAATATTAACCTGCTTGTGTTCTATTTATCTGCCTCTCCCACCTCACTGCCCTGCAGACCTTTGGCCACTGTGGCTGCTGGCAACACTCACATCAAGAGTTTGGAAGAACTGATACCATAGGTGAACACACACACATACACACATAACTATAGGCATTCATGTGTGGTGTGTGGTGTCATTGTGAGAATATGAGGGGTATGAATCTATCTCTTTGCAAACAACAGGAGGCACAGGGTTCATGATTAATGTCACGGGGCACTTCTGAATATGGACCAGCATGCACATGTGAGAGAGTGCACACACACAGACACACACACACAATAACGTATGAAGCATTACACATTACTTTGCTTTCCCCCCCCCCTCTTACATTGGAGCGGGATGGAGAGGTTAAATGTACTTTGTTGCAATAAATCTCGAGTGTTGTATGTTTTTGTATTTACATCCTTGGTTATGGCCAACAATAAAATGTAAATAAAAACACAAATAAAATCAAAAAGAGAAAACATACAAAAATACACAACATAGTATTGCACCTTGCAGATGGGCAATATATATTCTCAGTTTTGTTGTAGGTTGGTAACGTCTATGTGACACCAATATAGTTTCTGCTGGTGTGTGGAAGTTGGGTTGTGGGTGCCGGGCTCAGGTCCAGCCCCTTCCTGTCAGCTACATTCAATACCATAAAACTCTCAGCCATTACAAAAGTCTTAGTCCCTCAGTCTCTGGGCTATTCACATTTTTAAGTTTACCGTCTAAAGACTGTGCCTTTTTAAGTTGGAGAACTACACGTTAGCTGATGGTATCTAACGTCTCACAACCATATAAGGTAGAGCACAAAAGCTTGAGGGAAGAGTCATTTTGTAACTTATACTGATGCGTACACACAAGCACACATTATCTTAACATATACATTTTTTTTAAATCTATATATGCATCTCTGAACTTTCACATGTGCCTGCAAAATATGACTCCTCCCAAGTTCCTTTGAGTTTTGTGTTGTGTGAGGTACGACAAGATTGTTTTTTTTTTTTTTGTATTTTCATTTTCTGTTGCATTATTTTTCCTGTTTGTGTTTTTTTTCTCCAAAGTTGTATTTCATAAAAAAAGAAAAATATAAAAAAGAAATTCCTGTTTTGTTGCTTGTAAATTCCTCCTGATAAAAGTGGACGGACAACTGGACAGACACACAGACAAATAGATCAGTTGGCTTATCAACACAAAGTATAGATGTGAAAAAGAAGTGAAATATTTTCTATGTTACACTGCACGCATGGTCAAAAAGTGACTAGAGCTGTTTTTTTTTACCTTTTTTACACAGAGCCGTTTAAGCGTCAAAAAACAAACAGAAAAATAAGAAAACAATGATAAAAGGAAAAATTCTCCAATAATTTTGTTCAGGAGTCTTTTTTTTTTAAAAAGTCATCTCTTTTCATTGTGTTTTGTGGATTTATAATCATTTCATATATCTTTTTTTCTTAATCTAAATCAGACTCAGAAGGTAAAGCAGCATTATAACCCCTACTGTCACACACACATATCCAGTCAGCTCACGAGAACAAAGGACATCAATAGGGTTCTCTTTTTCAGTTCTTTTACAAAGATGTGTCGGAATTCCAAACCTGCATCTCTGGAATGAGCGATCACGTTCTGATCCTCACTACATGACAGGTGGGGGTTATCCTTTTGGAGGGAGCTGAGGGGGACATTTGGGGTTGTCAGCTGGCATGGGAGCAGGGGCTCATATGTGGTCGTTGTGGGAACTGAAAGGGGAGACGCTACATATTCCAACACTGCCGTCTCCTCTTCTTCCGAGTGTTTGTTAGCATCGTCCGACCACATCACCCTCTGTCACCCATGTCAATGATGGCAGTGAGGGTCGGGACCCTCAGCTTTGTGTTTCCTGTCTGACGATTTCTTCTCTCGCATCCGCACAATCTCGCGTTCAAGTCTCTCGTTCCCATCGCTGCAGCTTTGCCTTTCACATTCATTCGGTGGCGCCACACTAAAGGGCAGATATGGCCAGCCTTGTCTCACAACGAAGAGGCCTGGATCCCGTTTGGTGTCAATGTTTCTGGGCCAAACTGGGCGCATCCCACTCGGCTGTGGGTGGGTAGGATAGCTAGGGTGCTTCGTGAAGAGGAGAGGGGGAGAGAGGATGATTGAAGGGAGGGCTCTGAATTTGAAATGTCACTGGGCTGACTCTATAGGAAGGATAATCGGGGAAATGGATACTACAAGGAGAATTAATAAGTGCTACTGTGCACAGCCCTCCTGCGCAGGGATCTCTTTACGCCCCCAGTTGGGATGATTTAAGGGTGAGGGTCATGTGCTGAGGGTCTAATACTGACAACGGGTCAGGTTTGGGACTGAGCCCACTTCAACGGCCAGCCTCTGTTACACAGAGCCACCAAAACTCACCTTCGTAAGGAGTGTCCCGCACCAAACGCACCCTAAATGACGGGAGTTTTGGTGAGGGGCGCAAATAGGGAATCCAACAAGAGGTGTTGTTTTGATGAGTAGGGGGACGCTGCAGTAGTGCAAAAGCTCCCACCAGCCAGGCTAGGTGGGGCCTGTTATAATGTTGGTGGGGGTGCAATTTAGTCAAAGCTAGGCTCCAGAAAGGACATAGGCTAGATTAGGGTAAGGCAGGGCATGGGATGGATCTCTAAAAGTGAGGATAATGCTTGTGAAGGGGATTCTTCTGGGAGTCAGACCAGGCTCCACAATTTTGCCCAAAGGTGGCGTTCCAGTTCCTCTCGCCTCCCAGCGTTGCTCTAGACGTCGAAGCAGTGAGGCATGGCTATTTGTGACGATTACCCATGATCCCTGCCACATGTTGCTCTGCTTGGGTAATCCCGAGGGGTGCAGATTAGCCATCCTGTACAAGTGCCAAGTATGAAGTACTGTTTGGCGTTGAGTATAAAATAGATTTTCTTAGTCTCTCTTTTCTTTCATTCTCTTCTTGTATGAGTGGTAAACCCAGTTAGATTTGGCATGGCCCCAGAATTGGAATGAACAGAGTGGGCTTTTATCTAATCAATCAACATTGGTGAATGGTCCTTTGGCTAGTACACTATGATATTTGCCATGGATATAATTGCCGTGAGATATTACCGTTATGGTGGGGAGCATTGGTAAAGTGCATGAGACTAAAAGAGCTTTTGAGTTTAAGAAGCTTCATTTCGGTTTAGAACATTCTACCTTTTCACGTCTAATGCACTGTTCATGCATCAAAGAAAGCTTATTTCAGAGAAAATATTTATCAAGGTCCAAGGACAGCCATCATGAGTGTACTATGGAAGATAGCCATAATGCAGAAGCAAACAGCCCTTTCTCTGCATGCTAATTCAACGGGCGTGGCCGATGCGGGTTCTAGGTACTCTGTTATCTATCCTCTTGCTACTTGCGCAAATGGGTGTCAGCTGGGCTGCACATCTACAGTGTCCTTCGTCGCTCCTATGAGTCGGCTTCTGTTCCGACAGAAACGGGGTAAATCCAAATTTCAAAAGACGACATTTGGTCCCATATAACGAAAAGAGATAACCCGAATGTAATGGGTACCATTCCCTGGAGTTGGTAGAACCATCCGGGGGGATGGCTGGCCCTCCTGTCTTCAATGGTATTTCATTTCAACCAAGTGATAGAACTGAGGATGTGTGTGTGTGTGTGTGTGTGTGTGTGTGTGTGTGTGTGTGTGTGTGTGTGTGTGTTGAGCTTTGCTGCCTCGCTGGTAGTTGCTGCTATTGAAAACCTCCTTGGAGGCTGTGTGTGGGAGAATTACTCGTGACCCTGGCTCTGACTCTACAGTCCAGCAATTAAATCTGGATTCCTCTCTCCACTTCTTCTCCTCCCTCCTCTCACATCCTTTCTTTCTTTTTTCTTCCTTTCTTTATTTCAATGCAGTAACTCCTTGGAGAGAGAAGGGTTTAACTTTCATTAAAAAGCCAGTAGGGCACTAACACAAGCAGCTCGGGCAATGACAAGGCAAATCTGCTCAAATGTGTGTAAATGTGTGTGTGTGTGTATGTCACAGGAGCCGGTCCAATGACAAAAAATGAAGGTAGATATGGAGCCATGTTCTGCACATTACTTTTCAAAGGCAGACAACACAATTTCATAAAACTGGAGTAGCCTTTTATAAATATAGCACCGGTATCACTGGGATCGAATAAGATACCCAGAAACAGCTGTAACGGCTCAGATTGAGTTGAGGAATCGATAAAAAGACTAAGTCTGGTAGCTCTGCTATACAGCAGCCATTTCACACCAAAGTAATGCTTAAAGCATCCGCTGACATTTCACTGTGCAGTGTTTGCTGATTGCATGTGCCTGCATGACTGTGAGCATCAATATCAATGTCACCGTTGTCCATATTTTCTGAATTACTGACTTAACACTTATTCAGAAATAATACTGAGAGGTGCTGGCCAGCATGGCAGCTGGAAACATGGGCTTTAAAAGGTGTGTAAATCGGTGACCGTTAAAAAAAAGAACACGAGAGGGGGAACGGACCCCCGAAAAGAGCGCTGCTCTGAATAACTGAGGTGGAACAGGCTGTGGCTGTGTGTGTATGTGCATGTGTGTGTGTGTGTGTGTGCGTGTGCAAGTGTCTTGGCAAATGGATACAACTCTTACTAAATAAGACATCATGCTCAGACAGAAGGGCCCCCACACGGATTTTGAAACAGGGGTAGGTAAAAGGAGGAGAATTAGGTGGAGGAGAGGGCTGTCGAAAAACAAAAATCCTCTGTTTGCTCGACTCTCCTGTTGCTGGTGTGTTGTTTGTGTATTGGTTGGTTCCAGTTTTTAAACCACATCTGTAAATGCAATGTCGGAGGAATGCAGATTTCTGCCGAGAGGACTCTTCCTTTCCCTGTAAAAACGATGGCCCTTCCATCTCCCAATTTGCCCCAACTTCCACTCTTCCACTTCCACTCTTTGCATGGTGGGAATTGTGTTTCACACCTCCTGGTCCTCGAAGACCTCCAGGAAGAGCGGGGGGAAGAGTTCATTGGGACACTCCACCTTCATGTGAAGGAAGCGGCTGGCGTGGCACGCCCCGATCATCCGCAGGTCGGTCACCTTCATTAGGAGCTTCGGCCAGAAGTGAGGAATGTTGTGCTTGCGGTAGTTGATGTAGTGCTCAAACGCCAGCAGGTAGGTCTCCTGGCACTTCTCGATCTTGTCCATGCAGGTCAGGCCAGAGCGATCTGGGGATAGGAAGATATGGTGGGGAGGGAGGAAGAGAGGTGAGTGGATCATTTAAGAACAAGGAGAAAAGAGAAAAAAGGAGAGAGGGAGAGAGTGAAAATTAGTGTATAAGAAATCAACAAATGAATGCTGACTAAATGTCATCATTTTATAAGGAAATATGACTACTTTCATTTGTTTTTATGGACAATTTCCATTGGGAAATACTTGGTGTACTGTAATGCCTCGATTAGGGGCTTGGTACCTTGGAATCATATTAATTCTTACTTTCTAATAACGCGGGGCTACCCTTGGAATTGTTACATTGTTTCTTTTGCGAGAGGCCACCATAATACATATCCTGTCTTTATTTGCATTCTATTATTTCAAAAACCCTGAGCACATTATGTGACATGAGTTCCAAAACTCTAAAAAGTCTCTGTTTTGATAGTGAACTAATCAAGAGTTTTTTTTAATGAAATTTAGGAGGAGATTTTGGATTTCCTCCTTTCAACACTGAATATGTATGTGGGACTTTAATTATCAGGCCATAATTACATTTGGATTCACAAAAGGTTACGATATATGCGGTGTAAGGCAGCGGGTAATGAATATGGACAGTCATTGAATTGTGTCTCCAAGGGCACAGAAGACTGAGAGTTTACATTTACATTACGTTAGGCTCAAACTCCCAGAGTATTATAAGCAGAGAGGAGAGTCACAGCCATGCAGCGTTAAGTTTTAGAGAAGTAGTCAACCTGAGCTCATGAGCAGCACGGCCTGTAGCAGCGCCACCTCTGTGTCGTCGAGGTTGAACTGCGCCAGGCTCTTGCCCAGATCGAAGATGGCGTCCGACACCACGCCCAGCCCGCCGTTCTTCAGCTGCTCCCGCTTCACGGCCATCTCCCCACTCAGCGTCAGCGTCTCACTCTCGGGGTCGTAGCGGATGGCGGCTCGCAGCGACATGATCTCCATGCAGCAGCCCTTCAACAGGATGATCTGGTCTTCACACGGTAGCTGGGGGAAAATTGAACATTTAATGCAAGGTTATTCATATCTCTTAAGAATTTGCATATTGGACACATTTTAGCATTTTGAGGCTGTGAAAACCATGGAATTATCCACCATAATTACAGAGATATTGGTGGATGATTTCAACAAAAAGAAAATGTTACATACAGTAACAGTTAATGTGGGTGCAGTTTTCTCATTCATTTTAGAGTAGGGGTTTCAGGGTCTTATTAAGTTCATTTTCAGGTTCGTATTTGCATTAAGTGCCTCAACTGTGACATGTCTCCATGCGCCAGGTTTAACAAGCTCTCTATTTTTCTCATACTGCCTGTGCTGCAGCACCTCTTTTCACCCTCTGTCTGAAACCAGAGCCCAGTCTGCCGCGAGTGTTGTCACTATGTTGTGGAAGTGAACAAAGGATTTCATTAGAGGCGTTTCACGCTGCCCTTTATTACTTTCCACAAAAAAAAGATTTCCTGGATTACAACAAAACAAAGTTGAATGATAACACACTGAAGCACACACACAATCCCTCTGGGGATGAAAAGACAAGAATAATGCCTTGCACAAATGGAGAGGGAAAACAAAACAACACATTTTTTTAATTTCTCATTCATTTACTACACTTGACTTCACTTAAGATGGATGAGAAGCATTGTGACTGAGATAAACTGCTGCATGGAGCAGGAAATACTTTAGATAGAGGGAGAAAAATAAGTGAGGAAGGCACAGATGGGAGGAACGGGAAGATGTATTGAAAAGTATCAGATATGTTTTTCCCCTGATGAACACAGATTATGACTAATACACCCTGATTTACATGGATATTAGAATCTCTGAGTTGAAACCCATTTGATTAAATCTAAAGACTGCTGCGCTGAATTAAATCTCACCTTAATGCAAGCTTGTTTCTTATTTCACTGATCTCGACTGCTGAGCAGATTAATTGCCATTAATTGTCTGATTTGTCTTGTAAATGTGTACCTGGAGGGCACGCTTAATTTTCAGCAGCTGTGTTTCTGCGCATTTTTATCTGTAATTTACTGTAGTGGCATGAACAGATCTCATGGAAGCTAAAAAGGTCCTCTCCCTCAACCTCCTTCATCAGATCCTTTCATAATGTAATCTATTATATTGTGAAGAATAGATAGCATATTGAACGCGACAGATTATGTGCTCCAATGTCTGGAATATTATTACTGCATCCTTATCTGCACCTGTTTAGTTTCTCCATCTCTAAAATGAATAGATTATCCAGCAGCAGTGGGGAGAAATGTATTATATTTTACGCTCTCATTTGAATAGTAGCGTCCATCATAATATAAACATTTGATATAATAGGGTAATCTGAAAGACTTTAAAATATGCTGATTAAAAAAGCGACGATCTCTTCTTTCAAAACCATCACAGATCTATGTTCTCAAAAGCAGTAATGGATTACAGTTACAACTGTGCCTCACACACTGGTTTACTTTCTTTCTGACACACACAGCCGTCCCACCAAACAATAACTCAGCCTCCCTGATAATTATCCAATCTAAGGTCTCATTACCAGCGGCAGAGACAAGAAACATGATTACACGCTGCTAATCAAGGCGGGGCCAACAGGAGCAGAACTGCTGGCTGTGTTTTTCAAGTCAAAAAAGTGTAAATGCATGTAAGTGATCTGCATATTTATCCCTGCTTTCTTTTTTAAATAGGGGAATACGCTGCGAAAAATGTTAATTTCTTATGTCAGATAGTCATTGCTCACCCCCTAATCTCATGCCTTTGTGGTGAATGATACACTTTAAAAAACCCTGAGAGGAGTCTTGATGAAATTAAGTAAATGGGGGCCTTAGGAAAAGCACAATTCATTCTAAAACTCTGTGTTCAAACATAACCCGTCAAGTGTAATGAAGTCCAAGCTACTTTTATTCATCAAGAATGTTCGACATTTTTGGAATCCTTCTTCCCTGTTGAGGCATTCCACTAAAAATACAATTGTATTCAAGCATTTCAGGTAACACACGGTGAGCTAATGATATACAAATGGTCATTCTGGGGCTCAAGTTTTAACAGGCAAAGATTTCTGAAAGAATTGCATGTGTGAAATCTTTTTGACCCTTACTCCAGAGAACATTAGTCTTTTTCCACAGCTTACTGATAAGTTGTTCATAGTGTCTGTATCTCTGGAACCTACTGTTGGTGTCCTCCTAAAATAGAATAACTGCAAGACTAATTGACCTCCTAAATCACACATCCCCTCCACTAACACACTCACTGGTTTGTCTTCTGTGTGTTATCTTTCTTTGCATGTGTCAGACTCCCTCTCTCGCCCTTTACACCGTTCACCATTACTTACGTCAGAGAACATGGGCAATTTTTTGGCAAAGTCGACGACACGGGTGATGGCAGGAGTGATGATCTTGGTGAACTCGCTGAAGGCCTCCAGGTCCACCTTGTCTCCGTCTGACGTGGGAGTAACCGGGGACTGGCCGATTTTCTCTGGCTATAAGGGAACATAAACATAAAAAGAGGGTTAAAGCCCAGTTGAACTTCATTAAACATGAACAAAACAGACACATCAAAAGGTGGAGTGACTCACAACTAAAGACAAAATAACCGATTAATAAAGATGTTATGACTTTATATTTTTCTTCCATTGTTTCGCAAAACCTATTCAAACACATGAATGAGCCACACTGTTGTAATGGGCGATGAAAGCACATTACTGAAGTTTTGTATGCCTCAAAATACTTACTAGACCCCAAAATGTGTATTAATCCACTGCTGAAAATAATCCCCAAGAAATGCACAATTTCCATACAGATATTGACCAGTTTCAGACTATTTCAGGCTGTCTTTTTATTTCAATTAAAATGCAAAAAACCTATTCAAGACACCTTTTTAAAGATGCGCGTCTTGAGTAGAAACCAACAGACCTGGGGCTGAGCGACACAGGGAGTAAGGAAGTAAGTTAAGTAATAGTTTTCAAAGTTGGTTTTGGAGTCATTCAAAATGAGGTAGATACAGAATATGTCGTTTTGTTTGAATAGACTAGGAGAAAAGAGCAAATTTGAGCTTAGTGAATTAAGCACAGATCCCTACGACAGGACAATAGAGTACATTACAAGCTTCATTGTGGAGAATGGGTGTGTTTTCAGAATTAAAGAGCACAGAAGACTAAAATAGGATTACAGAAGAATCAATAAGATTGGTGTAGGGCTTAGAGAAAAATATAGCGGCAAAAACAACACACTTTGAAAGGTTTTTATAGCCTTTTGATCCTTTCTACAAAGTGCTCGCTTGCCTTGGGGAGACAAATTAAAACCAATTTACCAGATAAGGACGGAAGATTGTGCTCAGAGAGAGGAATGGGACATGTCACCCGGCAGACAGCGCTTACTTACAGGAGGACTGCTGTGGGGAACTGCAGATCAGTGATACATATGTTTACAGAGTTGTGTTAATGGAGGTTGTGACTATGAAAGATATTGTTTCACGCGCCACTGAATAAACCGCGTGTCAAGGCCGAAGTCATTAATTGAGGCCGGGCTGAGATAAAACTATAGAAATAATAACCTCACACAATGACCCATCAATCACCATCCAGAGGGAATCAGTGCACATTTAGCTGTGCAGCTGAGAAATGATGGAAAATCTAAATAATAGTAGTATAAACTTTGATGGGCTGCAAGTCGTTGTGCGAGAGCCAAAAAAAAGCATTGTTTCACTCGGTGAGGTCAGTGGCATTTTTCATTTCAGTGCTGAGGGGATGGTTCTCTGGAGAGAGCAGCTGAGGTTCAGAGCTGAAAACACACCGCAAGACTCACCAGACACTACTCACACTGATGGCAGAATAACATGGAGTCTTCACCTCCAACTGTTTTAGGGTCTCTTTAAACTTGTTTAGAGCAACATATTTTCTGACTTAAGCTATCTACAGTGATATTAAGCCAGGAAGACAGTTTTCATTTTATTTGTCTACGTTTTGAGATAAATGAGACTACAAAATAATGGAACCTACTTACTCCTGTTTAATCCACAAAATGAACTTTAGTTGTATATAATCTCTATTGGCGCTGCATTGATAAATGAATCCACAGAGGTTTTTCAGGTAATAATGACAACAAATGATATTGTCATCATCTCGAATAAGGAGGCTTCCTACTTCCTCTATTCAATACCTTAATAAAGTTAATATCTTCTGCTTTGGACTGACAAAAAAGACATTCTATAGACCATTGATCGATTAATCTAGAAAATAATCGGCAGAATATTCAATAAAGAAAATAGTCATTAGCTGCAGCCCTAGTTTCAAAGACACAGTCAGGTCTATATGTCAGATTACCTATACTAAAGGGGGAGAGATTCTGGGTGATTTAAATTACATTTTAAAATACCCAAAAAATGCCATTGACTTCAATTCCATGGCGTGGCAGCAGAAATCTCAGAGAGGTTTGGCCAAATAAAACCAACACTATCTGCATGGTCAGATACTGAATGATTGATCTTGTTCTATGATAAACAAAAACATCATATAACACCGCACTGCAGTCAAAACATATGTAACAAAATCTCAGAGGATGAAAACACAATAAAGCCTGAAGGCTTAAACCAAGAGAGTTATGTGCTTCTTGGTAATTTGTATACTTAATACTTAAAATTCAAGATAGCTTTCCCACTTTTAATGAAAAGACTGTTTAACCATCCGTCATCTATGAAAGCAATTTAATAAGAAAACTAATCTTAATACTACACGTGTTGTTGGAGCTCAAGTGATCACAGAAATGTGTGTGATGATTCCGTGCACAGGCATATATTTGGGTTTGTGAGTGGTCTTCACATTTTCATACTGTATGTGCTTTCTCATGGACTAAGGAGATGTTCTTGCAACTGTTTATGTATGTTTATTTACTACGTGGCCATCTGGGTGGCATCCAGGGAAAACACTTGGCTGTACCCGCAGAGCTGGAGAGGGATTACGTGTTTCCTGCTGTACAGACTGGTTAGTCTGGAGCCTAAACGATGTTGGAGATATCATAAAGCTCAATGTGGGCTCAACATTCCTAAAGAAACTGTTTTTATGTCACGTATGGAAAAGGGAAATCATTTTCTAAATTACCCAGAAGAGGCACATGATATTTGGACTAACATGAACCCCGGTAGAGACTGGGAGTTGGCGCATGCTAAAGTGGGAGGAGAAAGGCGGGGAGCTTTTTAATTGTATGTCTGTTATAGTATTTGCTGAGATTCAACTGTTGCCCTTATATCAGATAGATCAGTGTGAGAAAGATGGTTCCAGTGGAGCCAGGGAAGATACATGATCTTTTTATCAGGCTCAGATGGTTTCATCACTTTGCTATGAACTACATGGTTCATTTTTTATGACATAAAAATATAATAATATAATATGTGATGAAGATATATTTTATAATGATAAAGCTAGGTATAATGCCTTGAGCGTTTACATTTCAGAAAGATGAAAATATCCTGGGTTTTGAGTTGTTGATCCAAACATGTCAATGAGGTTTCCGGCGTCTAAACTCACCTTTTGTCCACTGTAAGGACACTTGAATTCCAATCAAATATAGACATCCTAACCTTGGGTCAATCTTCACGGAAATATAGTTATCATCTGGTAATAATATGTTCGAACACACTGTACAGAAATTTGCACTGCGTGACAAGATGATAAGATTATGACTGCAGAACTGCAAGTTTGTTGTTGAAAAATGCCGATATCTTTGAACAGGACATTCTGAATGTCTGGATTCAATTCAAACCATATGTCCTCCGTGCACTGAATCACACAAGAACATCTGATTGTTTCATTTAGTTTGGGAATAGCTGAGTAGAACATTTTACGCTAGCCAATAGAGCCGTCTCATTTATCTAATGTTGCTGAGACCAACAGCAAGCGGCTTGAGATAAAGTTCATGAGTTTATTGAAGAAAAAGATGTGTGATTTGAAAGGCTGCCAAAGAGAGTTTATGCTTCTCTTGGCTTGGAAAACTAAATAAAAGACTTGGAGCATAAATGTAGTCTGACCTTTGCTAGCAAGATAGCAGTTGGAGAGTTACATACGAGTAAGGAGTTCATAGTAGTAAATATCAATTTGCCTTCATACTTAATCATTACTATGAGCATGTATATCTTAGTAATTGTTTAAAGAACACTTTCGAAAAGCTCTATTTACTTCACATGGATAAAATCAAATCATTTGTTTTGCATGTTTTGTCAGTTTGCAGACACTGCCTCTTATTCGAGAATAAACATGCAAACCCATTTGTTTGTATGTTAACATTTTCCCCTTTTGAATGTACAAATGGTAATCAATAATCATGACTAGTCCTACACATATAATGTAGATTAATGTCTTGTAAAAGCGTTCTTTTAGAAATGTGATTCTGAGCGTAAGAGAGAGAACATTATGAAACCGTAACTCAGACCAATGTGTTCTTGCAGATATGGGGGCCCAGTTAAATAAGACACATATGGGAAGAGTGTTTAATGTTGTCTTGCAGGAGTGAAAATTGCGCTTGAGTACCAACATATCATTATTTAAGTGCCAATATGATGCGCTAAATTGTTGGTGAGTAGGTGTATTAGTCATTAGGTGTACATGGTCGGTTAGCACTTAAATTGAATACATTCAATGAATTTAACAAATCCTGGGTACTTTGTCTGTGATTGGAGTTTTGCCGCTTCCTCTTCTTTATGCAGTGTTTTGCGTATATTGATGCAGAACTTAATGTAATCAGCGCTTCATTGGAGTCGTCATTTGTGAGCTATAAGTACAGTGTGTGTGTCGCTTCTTCCGTTTTAAAGCTGCCGTCCCCACAGGACTAACAAAGCTCATCCCGGTTGGCTTAGCATGTACATTGAGATGTTCAGGGTTCAGCAGCTGTACCCTCCAGAGCCCCGTTAGTGGGTGAAGCCAGTGTAAAATAGAGCAGTTTATCCTTTTCGATGAGCCGAGCTCAGGGCGAAGATATACTGTATGTCACAGAAGCATGGATGACTGTCTTTTAAATCCAGTTTTTTTTAAAGCCCTGCTCTAGAGACATGCTTTAAAGGGTTAAAATACATATATTTCTTAATCTAACTTATATTATAGATTGATTCATGAAGTGGAGGATGGAAAAAGTCTAACTTTTAACACCAATTTCAAATGTGCCTTTCTTTTAAGGAAATCCTCACATTTCTTTCCTCAGCTTGAAGCTTCAAACCTCCTCACCTACATTTTTCCCGTCTGGCCCCCTTCCCACCACTCCAGACCACTTCCTTCTAGTTGCCTAGCAACTTCCTTCCCGGTACTTGCTTGTACACATGCTATAAACCCCTCTCCAAAGGAAACCCCCTCATTTCTCCAATCTTACACCCACCTACACATCCCCGGGTGGATATAAAAAAAAGGAAGCCCATTGATTTCACCTTGAGCTCAGGTCCAATGCTGCTATGAAATTTGTAATGAGTGTTTAAAACTGGGTAAGCACCCCAGATAATCCTGGGCCAGAACATGAGGTCAGCGCCTGAGTCTGTGAATGATACCAGGCAGGGCTGTCCAGGATGAATGTGAGCACCAGCGCAGCAGGGAGGCTCAGAGAGAAACCCTGACAGCCAACAACCCTGCGCTCATAACTGAGGATTTACTCTGGCTGTGATAAGGAGGAAGCCCACAGAAAACAGACGGGCATGAATAGAGGGGAAAGTAAGGGTAGACACAGTGAGAGAGAAAACAATAAAGTGAAGTTGGTAAGGGGATTAAAGTAAAAAAGACTCAATACAGCATGTGAAAGAAAACTATGAAGGGAATTAAGGATGGTTAAGAGCCCAGAAGGATTAAGATGAATAAACCCCCAAAACGCTGCAGAGAAGAGAGCAATAAACACAGAGCTGGGAATACAGAGCTATAGAAGTCAGAAAGAGCTACTATGACAGTCAGCTTTGTTTAAAAAAAGAAGAGCTGCAGCTCACCGAGATCAAATGAAACCTTGTCATTTGTGACTGAGAATGTTTGTTTGTGTGAGGATATTGTGTAACTCGCCCGTTGCGAGGTTCTGAAGGGGTTACAAACAGGAACATTGAAGTACAAACACTAAAGCAGCACTACATCGTTTACAGTGTGGAATCACCCCTGTGGCAGCTGTTAGAGTGTTTTTGCACTTAAACAGAGTCAACAAGTCCTGAGTGCTTGTTACCACTGTTTTAATAAACACAGCTTCATCCTCTGATCTGTAGATTTTGTTTACAGCTTTTCCATAGGGTTGAAATTAGTTCTCAGACAGGGCAAGAAACAGGAGGGGTGAGACAACCAGTTGGCTTTCAAAGGAGAAAGGTAAAACAACAGGGGGCAAACACAAAAACAGGGCATAGTTTTGTATCAGTTTTACAACTTATCTAAAATCTTTGTCTGTCAGCATTAAATTGGTAAGCGCAAGGTGGTCAAATATGGCCATAGCTATAAAAATAAGAGCCAAATTGAAATTAACCACAATTATCATTTAAAATCTGAAATAGATGATTAAACATTTTGTGAGAAGTTAACTTGATTAAATTCCGTAAACTTGCTGCTACGGCACCTTGTAACCGTACAGAAAGTGGAACGTTTTAGTTGGTAAACAATGCTGTTCTGATAATAAAATAACTAGTAAATAGTGCTTTAATTGGCAGTTTTTTTCCTCTTACCAGGAATTTGCGCTTCTGTTTCCACTGTGCGCCCTGAGCGTTGGTGTGCCGGTGGGCCTCCGTCACCAGGTGGATCACCTCCCACTCGCTGTCAGTGGGCTCTGGACGGTTTTGGAGGGTTTTCACCATTTCCTCCTTCTTGCGTCGCTCCCTGTTCTCTTCAATCAGACGCCGTTTAGCCACCCGCTTTGAGTCATCCAGCACCACTGCGAAGAGATGAGGGGAGATGGAGGAGAAGGCCCGGAGGGGAAAGAGGGAAAGGAAGAAAGAGCAAAGGAAGAGAGGAAGAAAGCATAGAAGAGGTATGTAATTAGTTTGCGTGTTGCCTAACGTCTGCACATCGTCTAGAGATGCAGATTCTATATAAGGTTCTACACAACGCTTCTATATACAGTCCTCACATCTTTATGTCCCCTGCATCCCTTCTGCACCACTCCCTTCTTTAAAAAAAAGCAACAGTTTTAAAACACAATCTGAAATGTGTACTTTCAGATTAATTAACAATTTACGGTAACATTTTATACTACTCCCATGTCTGTAATGCATATTATGAAATCCAAACATTAATTACATCATAGACATGGGTGTCATAGAAAGTGTTAACAGAATGAATGCGCTTACTGTAAACTGTATACTATAGTTATAAACACACACAAGTGTTCATAAGTCTTGTCAACAATAACATTTTGTAATAACTAATCAAAGGTCAAGTATGGTAAGACTTCATAACTGCTGGTCTCACACTGACACTGTGATACTTGGCCTTATAAAATGTTTATAATGCTTATAAGTATTGCAAAAAGCATTATGAACTGTGATTATACAGTGGTATGGGTTAATTATAATGCACTGGTTTATAATGCATTATAGAGTTGGAACAGAGAACGTTTATATTCTATCTAGCGTGTATTTATACATTGTAATCACTCTTTTCTGTGTGAGTGAGTTTGTGTGTGTGTGTGTGTGTTTGTGTGTATAAATGCATAGCACTCACAGTCCATGGCCATGCCCACTGCAATGCACTTCTTGAAGCGGCAAAGCTGACACTGGTTGCGGGTGATCTTGTCGATGATGCAGCAGCCATCGTACTTACAGGAGTAGCTGGGGTGGAGGTTCTTCTGAATGGTCCTACGGAAGAAGCCCTGCAGACACACAGCGAGGGGCAGCGGCATTTAATGAAGATTGAGGGAGAGAGCCACTTACAAAGTCGTTGAAAGGACAAGTGTGAGGCTATATATAAAAACGTTGTCTCTACCACATATTGCTGTTTGTTGCAGTGTGAATAACAAGCTGGCCAACACATTTTAATTAACAATGCTGCTTTTGCTGTGTGATAAAACACATTCAGAAAAAGATCTTTAATGGAATTTGTTCTGTACCTGACTTGCTAGCAAATGAGGCAATTTGTGTAAATGTTAACTGAGCCTTGTAGTTGCTGGAAGGCAACAGCGTAGGAATCAAACAAACCGTAGCTGGACATTTTAAATTCATGAATTAGGCCTTGTATCAGCCAATCATGTAATATTTTTCCTGAAAATGCAGTAAAACTTGAAAATATAATAAATGTGCACTTAACCAGACCAATAATGTAATAAAACCCAATAATGTAATAAAACCCAATAATGTAATAACCTGACCAGTGATGTAATAAAATGTCCTGAGTGACATTTTTACTGTCTACTTCTCAATGTAAGGTGAGGCTAACTTTGGTCTATCAGGAAATAAATCCAAGTACCCAGGAATTAGATTTACATTTAAAGCGGTGATACTTTTGGACAGGCCCCGTCTTTACAAATAGAAAATCCATGAAAGGATCCCTATTCATAATCCTCTGGTGGTTTTGAGTTAAGAAGTCTAAACGTCTCCACTTTATATGTTGTGTACTTTAAATATACATAATAATAATAGCCTTTAGTTCAGTCGGCTTACATGAATTATATCGTGAACTCATACACTTTACTCGATAAAACAAGCAAACCTTTCAATATAATTACATTATACTGTAAAATGAAATTATAATAATAACATTATTAAAACTTTAAACAAAGGCGTATGATAATAAAGTACAACAAAATAATTAACAGATATCACTCAGGTAAACAAAGGAAGACACTGAATAAATACAACAAAATATAAATAATAATAAATGAAATGTTATAAAATGTAATTAATTAAAGGCGGATGTGTAACACAAAGCTAATCATATATCAACAGTGTTGATCCAACTGTAAGATATTACGGTCACTGACATTTTCATGAATTATCGAAATAATGTTTTCAATCAGGAAATGTTTTGACTTTACAATTGCTATTATTGGGTTTTATTATAGGTGCGATCAAGTGTTTTCAAATTGCAATTAAATGCTGGCGTTATCACATTTTCAGGATATCTTAACATGATCGGGTGCTACGATTGACGCATGAATCTGATGTGTTTAAATATACTTTATTTTAAGATGTCATCCAATCAATCATACGTCAACTACATCAATGCTCACTATCACATTCAAGGCCTTCAGATATAACATGCCATTGGAAACACACAGGAACAGAGCCTGAGTGACAGCGAGGAAGACAACTGGAAGAGGTGAGAGCTGATGAGACAGACTGGCAGGTTTATATAAATATGTGTATGTATCATCTTTCCGTGGCTGTACACAATGTGTCTTTGACCTTGCTGTGTGTTTACTTTGAAGAGACTGCTTCAGAGTGTGTGTGCCTGAGTGTGTGTTAGATATGAGTTAGTAGAAGCATCTGACCTCAGAGGCCTCATATCAGGTTTTCTGACAGATATGAGGGTTATGAACCTGCTGTGTCAGAAACGTTTGGTGTGTGTGTGTGTGTGCGTGTGCGTGTGTACCTTGCAGCCCTCGCAGGTAATGCAGCGGTAGTGGTAGCCTGTGGCCTTGTCACCACAAACCACACACGGCTCATCCTTTTCGAGGTAGCTGGGGATGTACCCTGAGAGAGAGAAAGTGGGCAAGGGCAGAGATGTTAGGAAAAGTTAAATGAATTATACATGTTTAAACATTGAATATATTCTACACACCAATTCCTCTCACTCTCACACTAAATCCACCTCACCTTCAAAATCACATTACTGCTAAGCTCCACTCTAGCCGGCCAACATACCCCACCCAATAAACCCCTACACATTATTTCCACTCGGCTGTCTGTGGAAACACTTAACACTAGCCATCCACTGTGCCTTCACTGTACCATAAACACACTGCGAGATGATATAATGAGCTTCCAAATATCATGGACACACTCAGTTATTTACAGATGTCATATGTAATTGTATTCATTGGCTCCAATTAAGAAAGAAAAAGTATATTTAGTCATCTAGAAAAAGAGCACGATGTTAGGAGGAGCTTTAGGGAATGCTCGAACGTGATCCTCACATTAACATTCAGCAGTTGGAGCCACTTCTCTATCTGACCTGCAGGGCAACACAATCAGCACTTCTGTAACAGGTTAAATGGATCCTGTGGAGTGTTTGACCCTGTAGAAGCCCAATGTTTTTACAAGTGGGTCCTCAGTTTGTTTGTTTCCCTGCAGGTGCACAAGGACGTGTACGACATCATACGCATTTTCACCAACTGGTTTCAAGCTATTCCACTGATTGACAGTTGGTGCCATTGCTATGCCAGGATATGTGTCAGTTAAGGCAGTGAAGAAGAAGAATGATAGCAAACATATGCTTCAGTGGCATAATGTTTTTTTAACTGAGTGAAAGGATGGTAAAGATGTAAGTGGCAGCCATGATAAAGGCCGGTAGAGCTTTCTTAATGCTAAGTGAACATTTGAATTCCTTTTTCCTTTAGCATAGTGTAAACTGGGCCTTCACCTAAGGAAAGTAGGTAATGATGTCCAAACTAATTCTTTGTAGCAACATTTAATGCGACGAGGCTGACCCAGGTACAGAATATCCACGGTTGAATAATTATGTAGCCTTGTGTAACTGAAGTTAGATATATCATCGCTTCAGTCTTTATGAATACTCCTTCACATATGTCCTTGAGCTTATTTTCCATTTTCCTAGTATTTATTTATACATTTATACATTTATTAGGCCTTAACATAAAAATGAGTTGTAGCTACTTTGTAGATAAATGACTGAATCTAAAAATATAGTTTGTTTACAAGAAAAGTCACCTTGCTTCTTCAACTTAGAAAACAAGAGACATTTCAGTAATATTTAAAGACACTTAAAGTAAAATCCATAGCATCCACACAATGGCTCTTGGACCAAACCTGAAACCACTTCACATCTTTAAAATGTGACTTATTTTAAAGGCCGATTCAGTGATTTAAATGTAAACAAAAGAGAATAACAAAGGGATAACCATTTCTCTTTGTCCTGGTAGCAAGAACCAATCAAATCATTTTGAATTGCTCTCTATTTGATGGAAATGTGCTGTAATAGGCTAATGAACTCGGGACAACTACATTTCAGTTCTTCAAGTTTTCTTCTAACACGACTGGTTTACAATAAGAGCAATGCTTGAAAACCTTAGCTTATATCAGCTCTATAATTTGAATTCATTACAGACAGAAAGCTTAGTTTCCACTTTCTCTTCGGATATAACGTATATAAGCAAACCTCAAATTAATGCGGTCACAAAACTACAGGTCGGGTGAGTAACGTTGATATAATTGGGTTTTAACCAAACAGAATTGGCTACATATATTACAAGGTATATGGGTTCCATAAACTTTAGTGGCTGAACAAAATTTGGAGTGTTCTCTCTCTGCGCTCCTCTTTCCCACTCTGCTTTAAACTCGAGAATAGGACAGTTTGTTCTTTTTCCATTTAAAGACCAGGGAGACTGAGGGAGTGAGCATATACAGAGACACAGGAAACAGCAGATTTCCAGTCTTTTCACGAGATATATGGCGAAAAAACCGAGAAGGGGGAGGAGATGGTACACTGCAAGTCACAACCTAATACACACACACACACACACACACACACACACACACACACACACACCACACAGCACACACACACACACAACCACACACACACACACACACACACCACACACACACACACACACACACCCACCACACACACACCACACACACACCACACCCACACACTCCACCACACTGGCAGAGCCTTTGTAGGCCCTTCTACAGTAGCCATACATGTGTGTGAGTGAGGTTCTCCATGGCATATATGCTAATGTGTGTGTGTGCGTATACCGAGGCGTTGGTGAGAGGCTGCTGACTGGAGTGTCAGTTGGGGCTCCTGCCTTTTGGCGGTTGTTTACAGATTTGTGAAAGGAGAGGGGGGGGCAAGAGAGGATTGTAGGAAAAGAGAGAAAAAGGAGGAGGAGGTAGGAGGAGAGGAG